ACTGCTGTTTATTTTTATTTTGTATTCGTTAGCTTTTTAGATATTCCTGGCATGCAAGTCAGGCTCCGTGTAACAAGCAGCTGCATTTAGTTAAGGATTTCGAAGAGTTTTCCCCACCCCACCCTACCCCACCCCCTGCCATCCCCTCCCCCTCAACTCCAGAGAACTTTCTCAGAGTCACAGAAGACTATTGCTTTCTCTTCGTGTGTCTACAGAACAGTCTCTCCTGTCACACCCCAGGGGAATTGGTAAGGCCAGGTTGAGGCCCTTCTGTTTGAGAAAGAGGCCTCAGAGACCTGAGTGTTTCCCAACCGGGGCTGGATTTGCCAGGGTCTGGTCTACATGGGGACCTTGAAGCTGGCAAGCCAGCTCTCCCACTAAAGAGTACTTTAATAAATCACCTCTGCTCAGCCTACAACCCAGTCGTACACCCAGATGCAGATACAAAGGCACTTTATCAAGACATATCTCATGGCTGTTTGGAAGGAACTTCCAGACACACACGTCAAGCCGCATCAAAGTTCCAATTCGTTACAACAATGTAATTCCTCCTGATGAGAGGTGCAGACCTCCAAAGGCCCTTCCGGTCTGAGTTGCAGCAAGACTGGCTCAAGGACCTCCAGGACAGAAAGAAAAATTGAAATTGGCTGTCTCCAATCATTTCTTATTACCCCTAGATATAGCTAAGAAAACATCCCATTGCTCTTAGAAAACATGGGAAAATGGCACCTTTGGCCCATATGTAGTGTAAATTTTAAGACTTACACCAGAAGGGATGCCTGGATGGCTCAGTCGGTTAAGTGTCTGACTTCAGCTCAGGTCATGATCTCAAGGTTCATGAGTTCGAGCCCTGTGCTGACAGCTCTGAACCTGGAGTCTGCTTCAGATTCTGGGTCTCCCTCTCTCTCTGCCCCTCCCCTGCTCATGCTCTCTCTCTCTCTCTCTCTCTCTCTCTCAAAAATAAATAAACATTTAAAAAATTAAAAAAAAAAAAAAAGACTTAAACCAGGAAAGACTGTCTAGGACAGCACTTAAGAGCATGAAACCAGGGATTGTAAACCCAGCAATGCCATTTCCTAGCCATGTGACCTTAAGAAAGTAACTTATCCTTTCTGTGTCTACATTAAAATGAGCTAATTATGCCATCTCCCTCATAGATTTGTGGTGAGGATTCAGTGAGCTAATATTTGCAAAATGCTCAGAATGGTGAGTGGCCATTGTAAGGATTATCCAAGTGTTTGTTAAATAAATTATATAAACAGAAGCATCTCAGCATGCTTGGATTCAGGGAAATATATACTTAGGTGAGGTCAAAGGACTTAGCACCATTCTTCAGCTTCTCCCAAGCCCAGTAACAGCCGGCCTGGTGGGAGGGAAACTGGAAAGGGAGGAGAGGTAGAGGCTCCATGAATTGTGAAGACCTAAGCTAAGGCCCAGGACCCACCACCAACCCTCAACTCCTTGCAACCTACCCGGAGGTGGACTTACTGTCCCAGCCATCAAATACTCCAAATCAAAAGTTCCTATCTTTTGGGGATTGCAGTTTGTTCGGGTTTGTTTTGTTTTGTTTTTTTCTCCAGAATATCAAGATTATAGCCAGAAACATACAGCCACAAAAATGCACACAAAAATTTGAATACTATTTCTGGGGGGTCTGCATATCCTCAGTTTCACATACCCCAAGTTAAGACCCTCTCAGTTGGGTGCTCCTCTCCACTACCTGACACAGGTTGCATTTAAATCTCTTAACACTCTGGTAAGGTTCTGAAAAACTAATTGACTATCCCAGTCCATGGCGGAGAAAAGATCCAAACCCATGTCTGTTAAATTTCAATGCCTGTGCTCATAACCATTAAGCCCTACTGTTAAGTCCTATTATGCTCCATTCATACCAAAAAATGGGGCAAGAAAAGGAGAAGTCCTTGAAAGCGTGTTGCATTTTTTATTAAGAAAAGCAAATATTCCACCACAATTTTACACACAACCAAAAAAGTTATTCTCTACTCATTCAACAAAAGAATCTATGGGCCACTTACTATATAGATGTGTACACATGTCATTTATATATAGATATACATTTACATCAACATACATACAGGCTACAAAGCATTCCATTTTCCATAGGATGCTGCGTAAAATTTTCAAAAAATATTTGAAATGGGGTATGCAGTCACCATCAAACCACAGCCAAAATGGATACTAATGGATGCAGGTGACACACCATTTAAAAACTTTAAAGTCTAATTTGAGGGCTATGTTCATCATGCAGGAGATAGATAAAGGAAAATACAGACCAAAGCTGAGTTCTTAAGAAGACTCCTAAGTAAATATCAGAAAGATAGTGCCAATATCAGAGTAGCAAAACAGCCTACCAGGTATGCTGAATCAATACTGAGGATTAAATATTTCCAACACACTGCCAGAGGCAGCTTCACCACACCCTTTGTCTACCCGGCCTCTGTGTGACTCCCCTAGGGGGGATTTTCAGGCATCTCCAATAAAATTTGGGCTGGCTGACTTGGCTTTCAGTGTTTTCACCAGGAAAGCTGACAGTCTTATTGCCCTCAAGAGACTCCTATTCTAAAAGTAGACCGGACAGACACCTATTAAAATGGCATTGGAAGGTTTATGAAATGACAGCAAACACAGTAGCAGGCCACCTCCCTCTGACTCTAAGAAGTAAACCACAGAATCCACAGGATACTGAGAAAGGCCCAGGTGGGTTCCTAAGGCCCTGAGTTCTGGGTACAGTATTAATGGCTTCAGCTTCCCAGAGAGGTTGAGCTCTAGGTAGGTAGGAGGTAGACCAGGAGATCAACAATGAAGAGACCAGCAAAAGTAAATACAAAGTTTTGCCCTCCTGGCTAACAAAATGGAAAAATGATGGGAGAAATACCGAGCGTCTTTTTAATAAGTAACTGAAACCTATCTCCCCTTAAGCTGATCTCTTGAGCCACTGGTTCAGTTACCTTAAGAATCCTGGATCAGACAAGAAAGTAAATTTGAGTTCCACTGGAAGATTTGTCCTCAGAGAAAAGATCAAGCATTCACAAACATGGAAAGGGATTTATAAGATGACAAATAAGACAATAATAACAGATTTGAGCTCACTATTGAAGAGTTTGGAAAAGGCAATACTCTTTTTTCTTTCTTTCTTTCTTTAAGCCTGTAGACAGTTAAACAAGACAGAGTTTGGCTGACTGCTGATAACAAGACTCTTACACTCAGCAAAATCATTGCATGGACATTCATTTAAAGGCAGGTGACCAAAGAAAGGTACGCTCCTCCCCCCCCCCTCACCCCACCCCCATGATATTGGAGCAACCACTGTTGAAAGGTGTCAAGAGATGATACAACCAAACTAATCAAGGACCCACGCCAGAAGCCCTACCTTAGCTAGAATCACCCTGATTATCTCCATCTCAATTTGCTGGGCAACTTGACGTGGGAAGGATGTTTCTGTTGTTTAGGCAGCATGACCCAGTTTTTATTTTTTCATCCAGGTGTTGTGGCACGGGGCCAGATGTTTGGCATCCCCAAAGGAAGCAAACATCCCAGAGACCAAGCTGTTTACATTTCATTAGGATTTTTCATCAGGAAGGTGCACTCCCTGCTGATGGACATCTTAATTACAATTAGGAGCTGTATTTACCCCCGAGGAGACTCCAGATTACCACAACCACAGTACGGGATCAATTTCAGAATATTTCTCAGAAAACGCAGTTCTAACTTCCCCGAACTCATCTCTAAGAAATCAAAATTCACACACAACTTGCTTTCAGAGTGTGTGTCCCACCACGAAAATTACGAGCTAGATTTTAGTAAAAACTAATTCCGTGGCCATGTGTAGTCTATGTAGTCAATAGATCTTTCCCCCTCAACTGCTAAATAGCCTAAAAGCCTTTTCTTTTCCAGCGCTAACTTAAAAATGAAAGATGCATGATAAAAGAGCAGAAACCTATTTATCTGCACCGGTTTGGCCTGGGAGTGGGGGAGGGCAGAATTCAGGGACTCCAGCACCCCCTCAAGGGATGCATGTTAAAAGTGAGGCCCAAGACCCCGGAGACTTTAATCAACTTTCCCCCTCCAACCTCCAAAGAATGAATCGGTTGTCTCCACAGGCACAGCCGGGCTCTTCCCTCTCATTGTGTACCGGCTCAGACGCAGCGAGGATCCAAGCTTCCCGCAGCGAACTAAGACGCTCGGGCTTTCGGTGGAGTCTTTCTCTAACTGTTCCAATTGTCTTTGGAGATTACCAAAATCAAGTATGCATTAGATGGCTTTTCCCCCCTTGTGTGTAACACACACACACACACACACACACACACACACACACACACACACAC